GAAACAGACCATTTACCTGTATGATGTAGGAGACGAAGACAAATAGAAATCCTCCTACATCACCAAAGGAAAAAACTGCTTTAGTTCCATTGGACCAGAAACCCATGTTGGTCACTTTGTTGTCCTCCACCGCCAAAGAGTAAATGGGTGCAAAGTCATCAGGGTTTTCAGTGCACTTACAGAATAGCACTTCTCTATCAATGGAAATTGCCATTTGCTTCAGTTGTTTGAGATAAACCATGTCCTTGACGCACACCTTCCTCTCATGTGAATAAGGAAGTGTCTCAATCTGGCTGCGTAGTACAATTGTCTCCACTAACTCAAAGCTGTCAGTCCAGAAGTTGAGTGTCCCGTCTGAGCTACTGGAGATGTATCGCCCTTGCTTATATACCCTAGGTTTTTTTGAAGTCTCTATGTCACACTCACTTTCGTGGTCCGCCTGAAAGGGATCAAATATGAGACTGACAATGTCCCTGTAGTTGTCCACGGGTATAACAGTAAAAGGTTCTGGAAAGGGCTTTATAGTTTCCTTAGAGTCGAGGGCCATTTTCCGACATGCAAGAAAGTTAAGAAACTCATCAAGGTGCACATTGTTTTTCAAGTCATTCACAAGGTGTGTAAATAGTTGTTTTAGGTCCTCTTCGCTCACAGCACTGTCGAGATGCCTTATCACCTCACAAAATTGTGGAAAATTCAAGCCTTTTGATCCATCGCCATCGATATCTCTGAAGGCATAAACGATATCTTTTATGTAGGTAAACATGTTTTCTGACCTAGCAGAATTACTGCTAAACTCTGTAGAGGTGCTTCCGTCCATCTTGGTGTTGTTTGGTGTTTGTTGTACAACAAAATAACCTAAATGAATTGTTTTAGGCTGGTTGTTTGTTGGGGCTGAAGCTGTTTCTTTGGAGTGTTGTTTTTTGCGCCGTGGACCCCTGTAATAATCAGTTCACAAATGTCTCCTTTTTTCTTGGTTAGTGGGTTAGTGGACATTCACTGTGTGCAACTGCTCTGTCCAGGTCTTTAACACCACTACCATTTGAGCAGCCAACACTACTTTCATATTAGATAAAACAAATTCATGATGTCATACATTTTGATCCTTTGATGTCAAAAACTCTTGGTTGTTTTGATATTCTTTGGAACAGAAGGTACATGAGAATATTGTGTAGTTTGTAAATCAGTAAATTACTTTTTTTCTACAAATATAAATAAAACATAGGACAGAGTTTGATTTATATAAACAAGCACTCTTACACATACAAGAGCCAGCAGTCAATAAAGCTCTGCTGCTTTAGAATATTTTGTCAAGCTAACACTTCCTACAACAGCCTGCTGATATTCAAATTATACTTGGCACACTGTGGACAACATGCTCAGTTTAAAACACTTCACACACTCTTCAGATAACATAAAAGCAGCTTTCTTTGAGGACGAAATACTACTTAATTGTGAGTCTCCTCAGAAGGCCCAGCCAGGCTAAGCTAATTTTGCTAACGCTTGTCTTGGCTCTTTTGCTCTGGTAATAACAGCCATTTTGTATCCTTTTGAGTTGCATCACTGCCCTCTACGGGCCATATCACTGTCCCCTATTGGCCATATCACCCAGAAAACTCTGTCTTGATGGAGGCTGACTCTGTATGGACTATGTGTTCTATTATGGTGTAGAGATGAGGCAAATGCAGACAGCTGTAACAGCATGGAGTTAAAATTGGCGAGGAAGAAGTTGTTTTGGGTGTGGCCAAGAGAGAAATGAAGGACACAGAAACATGTGACATTCTAGAAGAAATGATAAGTTGGATAAATTAAGATCAAACAAAAAGGACAGAAAAAGACCTGTGTATTATTATAGTGTTTTAGCCACAGTAGTGGTTTTAAAAACCCTATTGTTTTGCCATTTATATGTTTACTCACTGCCACTCTGTTACTTTTTTGCAGGGTTGTTGTGGTTGTTGTGGCAAGGTCACATACTGTATAGAGAACAGAAACATTCACCTACTTAGCATGTTAAAACAGAGAGAATCAACCAAGAGTCAAACCAGTGATTCTTTGCAGAGAAGGCAAGCGTCCTAACAACATTTGCCACCTTGTGGCCCTCCACTAAAACAGACTGTTTGAACTGCAGCCCTGACCCTTGTAGGTGGACGCCAACACAGCAGGGTTTTTTGTAGTGTGCAGGCACACTGGGAGGAGTTTCCCTGGGGACCAGTGGCCTTTTATGGCTGGTCCCGGCCTGCCTGCTCACCACAGCTCATTGCTGCAGCTTTTCTGCCTACCTGACAGCTGAGCTGTCCATCAAACCCACTGTTTTAAGTGTCACACATAGACACATGCAGACCAACACACACACTCACATTGAGTTCCTGTTTGTCAGACTCTGTCACTGCTTTAGGTGTTTTTAAATTACTACATTGATAAGGTATAACTAAAGGCACTGCACATTTTCTTAGGTAAACTCTATTAACAGTCTGATAAGTTATTTAATCACTTGACACTTCAAGTAATTACAAAAAGGCCAGAGAAGCAAGAAATTCTAGTCTCTGTATAAACTGTTTCATTTGTTTACCATTTTTGTGTGTGCATCGATCTGTAAATTTGTGTAGGTTTATTAAATTAAATTATAAAAATTGGCCAATTAGCAATAAAACAATTCATATATTTTTATTTTCAAAACAAAGGCCCTTAAGCAATTACCAAACTGCAGGTTTAAGTTCTTTTTTTTTTTTAAGTCCACAAACTTACACAGCACGTGCATAGACACGCATTTCTAGTTTTTTATGACTTCAGGCGTAGCTGTAGCACCGCTGCTCTGCAGCTTCTCTAATTACTCCTCAATGTAACTCGAGTCGATTCCTTAAAGCCTCCTCTTCCACCAGCTTAGTCACTGTGTGAGATGAATAAGATTAATGCTGATTCACAAACACCCAAGAGATCAATCAATTTTATATATTTCTATTTTATAGAAATACTTGTAAAAACTAATTGACATGTTACGTGTTTTTTATTCAATTAGGATTTTTTTGGTCTTTTTAAACTATTGTCAAACTAATTGAAAGTTAGCCATTGTTGATCTGACGCTGTCTCCTCACACACTGTTTCCTGTAGGCCGCAGTCTGTCACAACAAACCCTCTGTTGTGCAGTGTATCCTGGGGAACGCAGGTAAAGTCCTCGGCTCAATCAAGCCAAACAGATGTCACTGGACAAATACAGGAAATTACGAGACTTCAGAATAAAGTGTAGTCTTTCATAAAGTCGTGTTTTAGGTTTTTTTAATGAAATACAAAGAATTTATACTGTTTGCAAAACATAAAATATATAACATTTTAAATTTAGAGAAGTATTTCCACATAAATTAATGAGTAGGAGAGTACATAAATAGTATTATACACTGAAAAGTGAAAAAGTGCCCATTTAAGTTCTGCATTTCCTTATCTATCTCTTTTGCTGTATTTTGCCATTTGCATTGTGAGTGTCTGGTATTATGGTTTTAATCTATGTGTGTGTGGTACTCACATACTAGACATACTAGACAAGCAAGAGAAGCAAAACATTTTAAAATGAGTACTAGGACTATTTGTTCTGATTGCGTTTTTAATACATGTTCATGCATACTCTATAGACTTTTACTAACAGCAAGAGAAGGGAGTACTTTTTTTTAAAACTATTTTTGCTCTAGTAGCTTTGCCTTTCATGTGTTTTCCGGGCTTTTATGTTGAAAGCGGAAACCGGAAATCCAGGTTGTTGGCTCTGTGATGACGGAGCGGCTGAAGTCACAACAAGCGACAGGTGAATAGTTTTCCTCTAGTTTCCCACCGTCTCACCTGTTCAACTGTTAGTAAAACGGAGTGGAGAAACGCCGGGCCTTACAGTCCCGCTGTTTGTGGAAATTTCTACTTCGGACTTTGTAAAGAAAAACATCCGGGCAGAGTGGAGCAAAAGACGCAAGGAGGCTCGAGCCTGGATTTAGCAGGTAGACTATAAATAACTGTTTGTCTTTGTCTCTCCCTCTCTTTTTCGCTCAGTCGTTTAGTCGCTTTCGCCATGTGTGTGTGTGTGTTAGCTCTTTCAAAGCAGTTAAGACTAAAACGTGCCACGCTGCAAACATGCTCCAGTTATTTTAACTGTCGTTCCTTGGTGCAAAAGAAATGAATAACATTACCTATAACATAAAAGTGGCCGGAGGCCTTTTCCGTTGCTAACAAACTGTGTGCGCGTACACGTGCACGTCCTAGTGGGATCATTGTTTTTGTAAATTCTTTGTCCTCGTGTAGACATTTTCTCAAGTGAAGAGGGTATTTTGAGGTTTCAGATTTAGTGGCGTTAGGATTAGAATTAGGGTGGGGCTGGAGTTTGGGGTTTAGGATTACGATTAGACATTTGTAATGGTTAAGACTATGGTAATGTCAACGAAAGCATTAAGTCTGTAAAGTCTGTCTGTCTGTTCTCAGCAACTGGTAGCTGTGACACAAAGTTGTCAAAATCAAATGTAAAAATTACCCAAAGCTCAAAGTACATTAATAACTTTATCTTCAAAGCTGCAGCTGTTCTTTCAATGTGCGTTGGTAGGTTTTGTAGAGAATTAGGATTGGGGGGGGAGGGGTCAGATCCTCTCTGTTCATTATCTCATACTTCAGGCCTGAAAACCCCCAAGTCACAACAGAACCAACAAGACCAACCCAGGGATGAATGCAGCCGTGTTGAATTCGACTTGAACTCTTGGACCAAAACCTTAGTGGAACGTCTAGAAAGAAAACATCATCCATTGCACAACAAACTACTTTTTTACTGTTTTATTTTTTTAAATTTTTTTTGGTACACCAGAGGTGAACTGTGTTTTCAGTCTGGCATTGATCTTGTTGTTGTTAGACTTACTCCAAGCTGTTAAGCTAAAGACACTGAGGACTTTAGTGAATGATACGCCAGAAGAGCTTTCGAATTCTGCAGCTGAGTCAGTGTGGGTATCAGAGGTTCACACACTCTGTCCTTAAGCACTTAGCCTACCCTGCTCTATAATTTGACATACTCTGTCACCGAGTGGCCCGATTTCTGTGGTTTAAAATGCTTCCACGTTGAAACCGTACTCTTTAAATCTGATCCAGAAACATTGAGGTTGAAAGAAGTTTTACAAACGCTCATCTAGGTCCTGTAGAATCCTGTTACAGCACCACACCCCAACACATGCTGATTTCTGCTAGTTTTGTCTGGTTAGTTTTCCTTTAGGCTACACGGACAGACAGTGTGGATGTCTGTTGGTCATACAGCAACAGACATCCACATCCAACAACGTCCATAGTGCGGCCAGTACGTCTGGTATTCTCAATATTTGCATCACATTTGCAACCATTAATAATCCACTTACCAATGGCATCAGAAAGTATTTCCACTTTCTATCCTTATGTTACTGGAAGAAACTTTGTTTTCACAACAAAACACAGTACTGCTAATGTGATGTTATTTTCTGTTTCATGGTTGGCTAATGTGAAAAGGAGCACGGAGCCATGTTGTCGTCAGATGAGATACTGAGCAGCACACAGCAGGTGATCTCAGGGCTGGAAGCGCTGAAAGATGAGAGTCACAGTCTCATGGAGAGTCTGCAGCAGGTGATGAGCAGCTGGGTGTCACCACAGAGTGGCAGTGTGGAGCAAGAAAAGTGTGACATCATCCACGAATGGCTAGAGAGGATAGGACTGGGGCTGAGTGAGGCTCAGGTACAGACAAACATATTGAAACGATCACAGACCTCAACTTCTTCACTTTGTAATTTTTAATCAATTTTTTTTTGTGTGTTTTACCATGAAACATTTTGTTTATCCTATATTTTATCTCCTCAGATGATGACAGCATTATCAGCTCACCTAGAATCTCTTGAGGCAGAGAAACAGAAGTTAAGAACCCAGGTAAACATTTTAGCAGAAAAAATGGTGCGCTGACATACTAGCCTTTTTTACTCTGCTCTGTCCTGTCCTTTCCCTCCATAGGTACGGCGTCTCTGTCAAGAGAACCAGTGGTTGAGGGACGAGCTGGCCGAATCCCAACAGCGACTACAGGCCAAGGAGCAGGAGGTGGTGGCCTTGGAGGAGCAGAATCGACATCAGCAGTTCATGTTCTCCATTCGAAAATATGACCAGGACGAAACGCAGCTGGTGAGAAAAACACATTCAAACAGATGACTTTTTTACTTTAATAGTTTAGTTACTCTGTGAGTAATCTAGTAAAGTATTCAAAAGTGGTGTGGAGTTCAGATTTCTAATTAGATTTAAATTGTCTGCAGTTACTGAGGCAAACTTGTCTTGTAAATCTTAAAAAACCCAAATGTTCAACTGTTTAGCTACCAGTTTTTGATGTCTTTATAATATAGCATTGTTTCCCACCAGGCGTAGGTCCTTTAAAACTATTTAAATCGTACTCCAAGGTCATATATTCTCAGAGTCAGTGTGCAGCTGTTGTGTTTTTGTTTCCCTGCAGGATGACGATGAAACTTCTCCGAACAAGAACTCCCTGGATGACCTCTTTTCTACTGAGGAAGAGCAGCAGACACACTGTGAGGATCTTCTAGTTGAAGTCACTGTTATAAAATACTGCTGTTAAATAATCTACTAGCAAATTTTTTTTTTTTACACATTTCACATTCTTAGCACTGAGGGGGACTGTCATCAGCAGAGAGTTAAAATAGTCATTGTCATAAATACCGTTAATATTTACCATCTGCAGTCAAACTCAGTTGAGTTCAGCTCTTGTAGTGTTTGTCATCTGTCTCATGTTAGTAAAAGTGACATCAAGGTTTTTTTTGTTTTTTTTTGTTTTGTTTATTGTTTCACAGTGCCCCAGTCTCACAGCAGTGCTGCAGCAGTAGCAGCCCAACAGGGCGGCTACGAGATCCCTGCCCGTCTACGAACTCTCCACAACCTGGTCATTCAGTACGCTTCACAGGGACGATACGAAGTCGCTGTTCCGCTCTGCAAACAGGTACGAGTGGTGACTATAGTTCTAAATGTATTGATATTGATACATAGGTTTTTTTCACAGCCATTCTGTTAATTGACACCACATTAAGGTCTTCTTCTTGTGTCAACAGACTTTGGAAGACCTGAAAAAGGCCTCAGGCCACACACATCCTGATGTTGCCACTATGTTAAATATACTGGCCCTGTTGTATAGGTGAGAACGTGAAGACAGAGTCATGGTTTAAGGAGGTGTCATTCGCTCTAGGTTGGTCTGATGTGATAATGTCATGTGTTTTCTTTTTGTTTTAACTCAGAGACCAAAATAAATACAAAGAAGCAGCCAGTCTGTTGAATGATGCCTTAGCGATAAGGGAGAAAACTCTTGGTTTGGATCATCCAGCTGTGAGTTAAATTTCTTTTTGTGATGCAGCTGCAGGCACAGAAATATGTTCATTTAAAAAACCAAAAAAAAGATGTTTTGTTGGTTTTCCTGTAGATTCAACTGTCAACTGTTCATGAATTTATGTTCAGGATAATTCTGTAATGGACATTCTGTGTGTATGTTTTTGTCTGCATCAGGTTGCAGCAACGCTCAACAACCTGTCAGTGCTTTATGGGAAAAGAGGAAAATACAAGGAAGCAGAGCCACTGTGTAAAAGAGCTTTAGAGATCAGAGAGAAGGTGAAAAAATACTCTTGTCACTTATCACAAATACACACTGGTACATGTTTACACAACACAAACTAATCAAAAATATTTGAGACCCTCCTCTCAGGAAACTAGGTTTTGTGTACTTTTCATTCACATTGATATTTGTTGACCCTCAGGTTTTCGGCGTAGACCACCCGGACGTTGCCAAACAGCTCAACAACCTGGCACTGCTGTGTCAGAACCAGGGCAAGTACCAGGAAGTGGAGCAACATTATGAACGGGCTCTGCACATCTACCAGAGCAAACTGGGACCTGATGACGCCAATGTGGCCAAAACCAAGAACAATCTGGTCAGACACCTTATAGACAAGTTTTTTTGCTTGTTGTTTTTTTTTATGAATATTTGCACAAGTTCGGTTTTTATATAAGTAGAGATGAGGAAATGTGATTATTTACAAATTTGCTTTTTTGTATGCTTACCCATTCTTTTCATTGCAGTAATATAGAAATGTAGTCATTTTGACAACTTAAAACCTTCTTCTTCTCTCTCTCTCTCTCTCCTGTCAGGCCTCATGTTATCTGAAACAGGGGAAATACCGACAGGCTGAGGCTCTTTACCAGGAAATCCTGACTAGAGCTCATGAGAAGGAGTTTGGATCTGTGCAAGGTACAGTACATAGATACATACATGGGATCTATATCTTGTTGCTGGGCCATGCCTTTCCAGCTTCAACAGTTAAATTAGTTGATGTGATAGATAATGTGATTATTGAACACAGAAGAACTAAATCCAGGTGTGCCTGTGTCCTGCAGGTGATGGTTGTCCCAGCTGGTCTTGGTCTGGAGGGGATGATGGCAGTTGTAGACCAGATGGATTCAACAACCTCAGGCGCAGCAGTTCCTTCACCAAACTGAGAGATTCCATTCGCAGAAGCAGCGAGAAGCTCGTCCGTAAACTGAAAGGAGTTGGAGCGAACGATAGCCACCCTAGGAATGCTGGGTAAAATTGTGACAAACAAACACGGCCTGAGTAAAGTGAAACTTAAGTGAATGAAAGATTAAGAATGTTTTTTTTTGTTTGTTTTGTTTTTTTAATGTTTTGAACTTAAAGCTGTTTTCTGTATGTAAAATTTTGTTCTCTTCTCAGACTGAAAAGAGCAAAATCTCTGAATATGCTGAATGTTGGAGTTGGAGACAATGAAGGTGGCGCCAAGGTGAGATTAACAGACAACAAAAGACTGATAGACAAAAACAGTACAGTTTATATCCTGCATTAGAATATGTCTGATCTTTTTCTTGCTTTCATTTGTTTATTTTCTTCGAAAATGAACTTTTTCTACAGACTAAACATACATGGAAATGTAAAAAAAAAAACTGGCAAATTTTCAAATATAGGGATTGCCAGATCTTTTAAACGTCAGGACAGAAAAATGTATTTGTGTGGATGCCCCAAATTTACTTATTTAATCCTCAGGCTGTTCAACAAATTTAATTGACATTAAGGTGTCAATTCAACACCATTGTTTCGATAAAAGTTATTAGTTACTCAGTAGAGTAATAAACCGGTTAACAAGATATGACATATTTTGGAAGATTTTCTTCAAATAATTCTAATGGGCTACAATAATGTTCACTTGCCTTATTCCTATCATACGATTACCAGACTTTGGTGTGAGATCTTTTTGTATTTCTGTTTGGAAGGATGTAAATCTGTTAACACTAATTTGTGTTATTTTCTTTGTTATGTTCCTCAGACGAGAAGTTTGAGAGAGACGTGGAATCTGAGCTCCAGCACACAGAACCTGGCAAGACGAGGTTCACTGGGTGGGACCAGCTAAGACACACACACACATACACACATACACACATACTCTAACCATAACACAAGGCTTAAAGTCTTAGCTGTCAAACAGCCGTCTTGGTGTGAAGGTGTGATGACGACTTAGATTAGTTCTCTAAGATCTCTGAGGTCTCTCACCTTCTACCACACGTCTTTATAGAAAATTACACTGGTTTAATGCTGCCTAAATGACGCTGTCTAAAATGTCAAAATGTCTACTTAGAGACAAAACTTCCAGAAATGTACAGTAGTTTCCTAACGGTCAGTCGAAATTCACCACATTCCTGTTTGGACGACTAGGATCATATTCTGTGAAAACTGAAAACATAGGCTGATGAAACAAAGCTTAGGTCGCAAGGTCAAGTGATGATAAAATGCTCGTATAAATCTGTTTAGATTTTTGAGCTGGGGAAAGTGATTATAATCAACACGAAGGACCAACATAAACAGAGACGTATTTAACGTTGAATAACTAGTAACCAGGCCTTAAAAACGTCGTTTTAATTGTCTCTAAAAAGTAAAGACACATTGAATAACGTTTTAAAAAAATATGGAGAACAGAAAAGCCGGTGTATTTGCAGAACAGAAACGAGCATGGCATTGTAAATATTATTCTAAAAATGTAAATATTTTAAACAGCAAAAATAAGCTATCAAGTTTGAGGTTTTTTTGCGATTACCTTTAAATATGAAGGTTAGTTGTCAAATATGTACAGTTAATAATAATAATAATAATAAAAATGCTTACCTTAGCTTGTCACCGCAATCCAGTTCATGTAAATATTTACTTTCAAAACTTGACCCAAGTTAATGTAAAATGTGAGTTTTGATCTCTTGTGACTTACAACACTTTCTGTGGCGTGTCGGAATTGATACTTTTTATGATTGTTAACCAGTAAAGACTTGAAGAATGTCAGGATGTTTACAAACATTGGTTGTTAAAACCAAATTGTTTGCCTGTAGAAACAGCAGCAGAGAGAACAGCCTTCATTAAGAGCCATTGTTTAATTCTGTCTACATTAATCTTATTAAGATTTATGTGTTCAAAGCTTATTTACACCAGGTGGGAGATGCTTATATAAAACTATCAGGAATCTTTCAGTTCATAATAGAGGAACTGTGGTACTGTATGAAGAGCGGGGTGGCAGAGAAGTAAGTGATGGTGGTGGTGGTGGTAGAAGACTTCAAGACATCATGACTGGTAGGTGTGGGGATGTGTGTATTTGGAAGTAGCCAGGTGATTAAATGGATGTACATTATCAGCTTTGGTGACCCCTGTTGGTGGTAACCAGAAATTGAATAATCATCCACCAATATGGTACAAACAAATCATTTCTCCAGTTATCCTCCTAAACTCCTAACCACCCCTTTGTGTGGTCACTCGGGTCCAACAAAGTAATTGTATTTCATTTCTGTATCTTTGACGATAAAATGTATATGAATAATTATGATAAAATAAGGTTATTTGTTTGTCAGGCAGGCCTTTTGGTACTATCTCCAGCTGTTAAGCTAAGCAACTAGTAGAAAACGGCAGCCATTCTCTTGCGTATGCTGCTGAGCATACCTCAGTGCTCAAGCTTTGCTTGTTATTTGGAACAGTTACAGTACACAGTATCACCATGTACTACTGAGACATTTGAAACACTTTTCTTTACATTTAAAAAATGTAATTCAATTATAGATTAAACTAATTGTAGTAATTAAAGCATTTTAAGTCAGTATTCTTTACTATTACTGGATAACCGGTGTATTTGTTCATGGTCGTGGGTTAAATTCCATAGTTTGTTTAAAGTCTACAGAGGAGTAGAGAAGTGCTTAAAAAATACACAAATCATACAAATCATAAATATTTAATAAAGCAGCATCTGTTGGACAGATTATTTAATAATTTCAGTAATTATTTGATTCGCCTCTCAGGAACATTTGTTAATATAGGTGGTTGAATACGTGTTCAGAAAACTCACATTCCATGTTTAAAATCAACTCTTTTCCATTCTTGATTCTTCTTACTTCAATGTTATAAATTACACTACAGTGTATTCCCTGTGGCAGAAAAGACTGTTGTTATTTGGATTGAATTCTGTCTTAATGTAGCAAGAAATCTGTTACAATGAAACACATTTTGACTGTAACATTCAATGAAAATATAAACAATCTAATCTTTTGATATCTGTAGTCCAGTGATTCCCAACCACTGTGCTTGGCACAATAGTAGGCCGTAAAAAATCATCCAGTTTCACAGAATTGGTCTGAGAACATGTTTATTTACTACAAATAAACATTGACTAGAAGATCATTAAATATCATTACAAAATTTGAGCCTTGGCTGAAATAAAGTTGGGAAACACTGCTGTAAAGTGTTTAATGGAGATGTGTGTTTTGTATTTGCAAACAACTGCAGAAATAAAGACACATTTTACCATTTTACCACATTTGTTTCTTCCATGTATCATAAATCTAAATGGCTTTCTTTCTTCTGAAGACTATGGATTAATTTATACCTTCTCTGCAGGGGTCATCCCAGTATTATCATAATCTTTAAGATTTTGAAAGATTATGATATTTGGAAATTAGTGTATAATTAGTGTATAATATTGGGCCACATGGTGAAAAATAGAAGAATATACACATTTGGGGATTTCTTATGCAAAATCTTTTTTTTCAGATGGTAAAAAATTGATGAAAATATTTGGAAAAAAATATCTTTTCTGCATTTCTCTCTCTGTTTTGGGAAAGAAATGGAATTTTTTCAGAAAATTCCTAATATAGCTTGTAATTTTTGGTCAGATGGTAAAAAGGAATCAAAATTTTATCATGTGTATGGTTCCCATCAAATTAGAGCATTTTGAGAAATTCTTTGGATTTTTTTTTTATTATTTTTTGGCAAGCTCTTGATTCAGCATGTCATTTTAAGACTTTGAGATTTTTAAAAATTAATCAAATTTTTTAGAAATGCATATTTCCCACCACATTAGAGCATTATGAGAATTTCTTGAATTTTTTTTTTAGAATGTTTAAAAAAAGAAAGAATATTTTGTCACTTTGTCACGTCCTGTCATTTTTATGTGTTTGTATGGTTAACTTTTATTTTTGGAAATTTGTTCAGGAACTTATTGGAATAGTATTTTACTGTTGTCAAAAGTTAGCGTACCAAAAAAGTATATTTTTTCTTTCTTTTTTAACCACAAAAATGGACATAGCTAAGTATTTTAAGACAGATGAGTGTATTTTTAGTCATTTTTCAGAAACTTTTTGTTCAGAGATTTGTTCAGGAACTTATTAGTATAGTATTTTACTGTAATCAAAAGATAGTGTACCAAAAAAGTATGTTTTCCTGAATTTCAACCACAAAAATGGACATAGCTAAGTATTTTAAGGCAAATTAGTGTATTTTTAGTCATTTTTGAGAAAGTTCGGAGATTCTAATAAATTTTGACAAAACGTTTTGTAAAATTATTTTTACATTTCCAGAAATGTATTTTTATAAAATTCTCTTGTCAAAATGTAAACTTTTTGTGTCATTTTTGGTCAAAAACAAACATTTTAAGGCACATTTTTGTAAAATTATTTTTTTTAATTTTATCTTTTAGTGCATGTTTCTCATAAAATTAGGGCATTTAGAGAATATGTTTAGAATTTTTTTTCTATAAAATCTGTCAAAAGTTGAACTTTTCCTCTCATTTTTGTTCAAAAACAAAGATTTTGAAGATTTCTTTTGTAATTTTTGCAACATTTTTTGGAATTTTTCACGATGGTAAGGCTATAGTAAGACATGTTCTGGGTGATTTTTGAAATATTCATATAAAATACTTTTTGGACTTTTAAACACAATATTCACTTGGCAGCATGTTTTAGGACCTAATCTTGCATTTTAAGGCATTTCGGGGACTTTTTATTTTTATGGATTTTTTTCATGATGGTAAGGCTATATAATAAGGCATGTTTGTGGTAATTTTTTTAATATTCATATAAATTATTTTTAAACACAAAATATTCACTTGGCAGCATGTTCTAGGACATAATCTTGCATTTTAAGGCATTTTTATTTTTATGGATTTTTTCACGATGGTAATGCTATAGTAGGGCATGTTTTTGGTGATATTTGAAATGTTCATAGTCTACTGGAAGGTACCAACCGCCCTAACCGAGATTTGAACTTGCCCAGGAGGTAAACCCTGGGGTTCCACACCAATGACAGAGACACTGGCTCTGGGACAAAGCGCCAAAGAAAAAAAAATTTTTCTAAAAATTTTCTGAAAAATTTTTTTTTATTCTTTAACATTTTTCAAAAAAAAAAAGTTTCAGAAAATTTTTTAGAAATTGTTTTTTAGACAACATGTTCTGAAAAAAACATTTCTAAAAAAAATTGTTTTGAAAAATATTTAAATTTTTTTTTTCAGAAAATGTTTAGGAATTTCTTTTTTTTCAGAAAATTTTTAGAATTTTTTTTTCTTGGTCTTGGTCTCTGGCCTTTGGCCTTTGGTCTTGGTCTTGGTCTCTTGCACAATCGTCACATTTTTCAAAAAAAAATGTTTCAGAAAATTTTTTAGAAAATTTTTTTTTAGAAACATCTTTTTTCTAAATATGTTCTGAATTTTTTTTTTCTAAAAAAAATTGTTTTGAAAAATATTAAAAAAAAATTTTTTTTCAGAAAATGTTTAGGAAATCTAAAAAAAAACTTTCAGAAAATTTTTATAATTTCTTTTTTTCTTGGTCTTGGTCTTTGGTTTTGGTCTTTGGTCTTGGGTCTTGGGTCTTGGGTCTTGGGTCTTGGGTCTTGGTCTCTTGCACATTTCATCGTCACATTTGTTTTCTAAAAAAAGTTTTCAGAAAATGTTTTGAAAATTTTTTTCCTGTAATTTTTCACCTGTAAGTGACCTCAGAGTGAAGACCAAGC